ATATATATATATATATATATATATATATATATATATACGTGAGCTCACAGACTAATTATCCCAAGAAAACATCAATTATCAGAGTTAAAGATTGAAATTTTGGGGTGATAAAGAAATACAACCAATCAAAAATACCAACAGAACGAACCATGAGAGCAGCATTTTGAAGGCAACTTTGAGAGTTGGGAATTTCAAGTAAGCCTCTTTGATAAGGGAATGTTTATTGAGTGATGCCCACATAATCGTTATGATCCATGCTTTCCAATAAAGTGTTCGAACGGACAACGCCGGTAATTCTTTCCTGGAATTCAGATAACATTCAGAACATTCATCCACCACCACCAACAATTAATTCAAGTCTCCAAAACAGACTCGCCACTGCATTAACAATATCTAGTTCATGCCAAATGCAATAGGCAGAAAAGAAATGAAATTAACACAACTTTTCACATCAGCTCACAAAAATTCATCACACGATATAGATATAAAAAACTGATTAAAAGACTGATTAGATAATCGAATATGAGCAAAAAACGAAACGAACTCTTGTAAGTGGAATGTTATTGGTGGTTTATAAAGAGTTGTTGCGAATAAGCTATAAATTGCGTCGCAATTATCGATCTCTATCATACTTCGCACACTCTCTGCAAAGAAATAACGCATTACTGAACTAAAATCAAACGTTTCTCGCTCACTGCACAAAAAAAGAAACCATATCAACAAGCAAAACCAACTGCAAATGATACCAAATACCGCTTACTGATGGATAACGATTCAGTCATATTATATACGCGAGACAGTTATCGCATCAATACGAAACAGTAATAACTGTTCGGCTGAATAGGTTAGATGTTAACCGTTGAGTGGAGATGAGATCGAAGCACGTTTGCTGAGGTTCTCCACCAGATCGATCGTATCCGCTGCATCAATTGGTATCGTCTGCTCAGCACCGGCCTTCAGAATCTTCAGCAGTAACCCTTCACTTAAGGGTGCATCTGAGATGGCACGCATAAACTGCGTCACGTCCGCTTCTAATGGCCAATTGTCAACACTCGAATAGTAATCTGCCTAAAATGAACCCATTCTAACTGCTTTAATTAACAAAAGTAATGTACTGAATGACTGTGACAAAAATACTTACATACGAGTACAGCAAAATGAAAAAATACGGACCATGAAAACATCGAGTTAAAAATATTAAAAATAGCAAGCTTTCCTATAAGGAAAATTACTAAATATGCTATAATTTTCAACAGAATTGTAATGGTTTCAAAATGCGTCGCACACGATGAACTACAAAAACTTCTGGTTAATTTCTCGATAAATAGAACAATGAGATAGCAACAACAACAACAAAATGAAGTGATCGATTATTTCACAAACGTACCGATGCTAAATAGAGAAGGCGATAAAACGAGTAAACATATAAACGACTATCACTGCAATACGCGTGATGCGATATCAGAAAATCGACACACTCCTCGAAAAATTTGAGTATTTCGGTGTAGAACCTGGATGGAAACAGTCTCGTTTACGTAGCAATATATCAACAATTAGGATTATTACAATCAGATTTTAAAGTGAACAAGATCACCAAAGTCACAAGCACACGATTTGCGTTCAAATGCAACAATGAAACATCGATGATCCTCAAATCCACGGCCAGAATTTGAATGGCCGATCACAAATGAAAATTCGGAGAAAAAACATTTAATGAACGAATTCACTTTTGGAGGGCGTCGAGATTAGTTTGTGAAGGAGTGACATTGACATTTCTTCTTAACTGAGTACCTTCACGTACCGATGGTGTAACAGCCAGAAATGGCAACATTCCACATAGGTCCATTAACGATTTGAACAGATGTGCCTGTAATGAGAATCGAATGAATTCGAGTTATGTCGAATGCACGTTCCTGATAAATATGAAAAAAANAAAAAAAGTGAATAGAAGTTCAGCACGACCGCTAAAATAACGTGCAACAATTAAAACGTTAAAATGTTTCCATCAGAAAAACATATTACCGGTGCAGAAGTTGGGAGAAATTTATTGATGAGTGTTTTGAAGAGATAACGAGTGAAAAGAACAAAATCGAAGTCGACACGTAACAGAGAACGAACGAATTCTCGGAGAAATGGACGCGAGACTTTCAAATATTCTTCTTTGACGGCCAACATTTCACATATTTCACTAGCCAATACCTTTAATCCATTTCTTTTCTTTTTCATATGGATCCGATATTCCTTCTTATCAAACCCTTTCACAATTACTAACAAGTGTTATTTACACTTCTTTAAGAAATATGTATATTCATGCTTCACACTGATTAGAATAACCTCGAATAGAGATTAATCCTTCCTAACATAAGAGATGAAAATCGAAAATGAAGCATTCAAGAATCAAAAAGACCATTCACTGTCCAACGGTGTTTGATAATAAATTCAAAATTTATAAACATTTTTCACAAAAGAGGTTTTGCGTTTCACCATCACAGCTTTGAGATATTTCGGCAAATCGAAAGGTAAAAATTCAAAAGGAAATACTGAAGAAACATTCGCAGAATTTACTCGTTTCGTTCAATAAACAGTACATTCAATAACAATTCAAAACAAACCTGGGTTGCAAATGCATTGTCAAATGAGAACAATGAATGTATCATAGTCATATTGTACGGGAATCGAGCTGATGAAAACTCATTCGTGAGTAATAATCTCATAATAGAACTCATAAAGTCGCTATCATGGCTCAGAATCTCCCTGAAATCATTAATTAATCCTCAGATTTGCTTTTCGATAACTCAGCGAAAGTGCGAGCTTATATGAAGGAACTGGTGGTTAACTTCCGTCGCAATTATGCCTTAAACAGTCGTCACACGAATACAACAAATCAAGCCAATCAATTCCTGTAAACAGTGCTCTTTTGGAATAGAATTTGTCCCGGACGGCACCTTTGCAATTGCTCAGAGAAATGGACAAAAACATCAAAATTATGATAGCGATTTTAGGCAATGGAAAATCTTGATAACCTATAGCGGCATAAACAACCATAAAGAGCAAATAGAAACGACGAACTTGAGTGCCACAGAAAGCAGGTTGATGATTTGTTTGCTCTTTAACGCCTTCAATTTAAGGAGAACGCTCAGTGTTTCGGTGTCTTCATTCGAGGAAACACTACGAATATTACATGCAATCGACAGAAGCAATTCCATTGCACTTCGTTGCAACTGAAAGCACCAACTCGGTATATGCATATCTGCGCACACTGAGCTGATGCCGCTCTCCCCTTCCACTCATCCATCGTGACAGATGACAAAGGTGTAGGCACACTTAAGAAATGTGGCCAAATACGGGTAAAAATACCTCTCACGCTTCACACACTTTCTTCCTAACGTAAAACTATCCAGCGTTCATTGTTGAGTTGGACACAAACAGTTTCGATAATTGTGGAACATTCAAGGATATTGTCAAAATCGCACTCGAGTGATTTCTCGAAAAAAATGTACAGTGAAATGAATTTGGATAATATTTTCACTCGAAAGAACATGTCACGTTACTCACCTTCGTATTAAGCAACCAAATATCCATTCGTTGAGTGGCCAAAAGGCGAATCTGCGCACAGCCAGTGCACAAAGTCATTGTTTTGAGTAAATTTCTTGGTGCAGCATCACTTTTCCGTTCGCACATTTCACTAATATACGCCACAATTGTATCGATTTTGGATGACTTATTTGCAAGATCTTCGAAACGATTTTTTCGCACCTTTAAACGTTTCACTATTCATTCAGCATAACGATACAACCATAAATAATTGAAATAGTACAACGATTTCAATCCCACATAACGACATTACAAAATACATTTTCGCAGCTAATAACACATGTGCATTGCACCAAGCCTCATATGAAATCCATGACTCTTTTCATTTAGGTTAACGGAAGGCAAACTCAAAACTACTGCTAGACAAACAGAAATATCAACATCGCAAAAATCACCGAAACTCATATATATCCGATAAAAGTGAACAAAATCGACTGATTTATTGAGCTCACACATGACAACATGCCTAGTTTACACCATATGTATACAACACAAAAAATTATGTGACGTTCATTCACTAATTGACGTCGCAATAGACCATACATTTCAAAACGTCCATCATTTGTTTTCAGTCAAATTCAAAATGTTTGATAAAGCCACCAATCAATGAGACTGTTGAATCAAGTAGCATTCCACCAACCTGCTTATGATGCAATCGTTCAGGGATGGGCAATTCGCAAGAGCTATACAGATCCTCATGTGGTAAATTCGTATCGAAAACCGTAATAATATTATCAATCAGTGTACCCGCACACGTCCTATCAACCCAATACCGTTCATGCAAACTGTCATCAATGAGACATTCCACCAAACACCACGGCCATTCACTGCTTTCTTTCAGCATTGTATACAACACTGAAATACATTAGCAGATTTCAGTTTCCAATAAATTGCCTTTGCAGCTTTCAAAAATTGGACGACCAATTAGGTACAAAAACTTACGAATGGGTGCAACAGAAAGTGCAGGTGAAGAATTGGGTAAGGCTGCGGGCATCAATGAACATAACGCCTCCACCACCTCATCATGCTGCAATCAACATTCAATATCAAACATTTCGTTCATTGATTATTCAGTTCTTCTGAATTCAAATGGGAAAACAATGTCAATAATTCGCATGATAATACTCATCAGGATATGAAACAACGAGATTTTCTGTTAGACTGATATGATGAAGAGTTTACAGAATGGCAAGATTTCAACGAAAAACCGAAACTGTATTCAAGCAATGTGGTATAAAATAAACAATGCGTGCATGCATTGAGTGGAATCAAATTCGAAACATAACGCCAATGCAAATGAATAAAATTAGAAGAATTTAAAATCAGATGTGAAGTAATCACTGACGGTGATAAAAGTGGGATATTGTTTGCAGAATGAGAGAACTGATGTGATAATGAGCGGTTCGGCAGACCAAACGTTGTTGCCGCGACGATACGAAATAAGGTCACGAACAGCTGCGCAAATCAATCTGGCTCCTTTTTGCGCTTTTTGCTTCTCAAAACTATTCATCAACGACAATAATAACTGCTTCGGTTCCAGCGTGACCTGAAAATTTCTTTGCTCTGAATGTCGAGATAACCTGTAGCTAAAACGAAGAAAATTAGCACCAAAGTTCAATAACTATCACTGTTGACTGTTTCTTTTTTGTATTTGGTTGAGCGAAAAGTCGCAAACAAAACTGCCTAGCAACATAGGCTGCGTAAAGATTACGAAAAAATGCTTTCTTGAAATACTACAGCTCAGGACTTATGTCTTTGTTGGTTTTTCTATTATTGTAACTAATTGACTTAATCCATACACGCTCATAACCCTACACGAGGTCACAAGCAAGAAAAATTTACGCAGAAAAGGAACAAAGAACAATAGAGGACGGTTGTTTGAGCTGAGACTAGAACTAACGAAGAGTTAAGTTGAACTCAATGACTGCACTCAAAATGTTCCACATCGTCTCTTTGGAAAAAATCATTTGCATATGGCACATGGCAACACATCATGTCGTCAATATATATATAT